TTGGGTTCATGCCACACCAGTTGGAACATTTCTCCTGGGTTTTCCAGCCTCGTCTTGCCCTGGACAACATCCACTGTCTGGAAGACGCAGGGCGGGTGGCAGCATTGGCACCAATTCACCAAAGGCCCAGTTTAATACCATCAGAGGCTTTTCGCCGTGACTGGACGCCATGCCGTGCCATCTTGGGCAAGGACTCAAACAGCCTGCAGCAGCATCCACAGATGACTGTAAAACCGTATTTCAGAGTCAAAGTATACTCCCTTATCCTGATGCGAGGACAGGAGAAAAGATAACAAGAGTGCCTGCCCAAGCAGAACCGCTGCAGAGTCTGCACATAACCGCCAGTTGTTCTGTTGCTGGAGGTTTGTTAACCGGCAAAATACAGAAACGCGCGTGTGTTTGATTTCACAGGGCGTTGATCAGTGCGTTGTGCAGATGAAGGTTAAGTCTAAGAAAAGAGGGGATAAGAGACGCCATTTGATACAGTTAAGAATGATAGATTGTACTTTGCGGTTTGTAGTCCAGATCTTAGAGAAGGGATTATATCTGCCTGTATTTTATGTTGATGAATGAGTTTGTGGGAGGATAAGCACTGACACTGGGAGAATTGTGAAAGGTGATATGTTTTCTGGCTCTGTGGACTATCTTCATACAGACTATTCGCATCACCATCAGCAAGCAGCATGACACAGAGTCAAGGAGATTTATAGCTGTTCCAGAATGTAAACTTCTGTCGTGGTTTTTTTGTTTTTGACCCGAGCACGGTGTTAAGCTTGACAGAAACTGCAGGCAGCATAGATGAATATATTTACATGAAAATGGCCGTGTTGTGTTAAAACCTTCAAAAGCTGGCTCCATTTCCAAGGGAGAACCACATGGGGAAACGGTCCCTTATGCTTCAGTCTCCCTTTTTTAGTGACTCTCCTTGTGTGAAGCTACTATAACTAAAGTAAAAATGTAGGGGTTTGTAATTACAGTATGATGAGGTCAAAGTCGCAGCCAGTTTGTTAGACTAATGGTAAATGGACTGCTTCTTACACAGCGCGTTCTGCTCAATGTCTCATACGCTCAGTCACACAGACTTTCATGCAATGCTTTTATCTATACCTAAGCACCTCTGCCTGACAACTGGGCAACCCAGGGTTCAGTATCTTACCCAAGGATCCTTGGACATATGGAGAGGAGGAGCTGAGATCGATTCAGCCACAGCAGTCCCGAACGACTAATATGGGTAAACATATTGATATCCGTCAAACTATGGTCCCAACAGTTTTTCCCACAGCTGTCAGGCTAGTAGTTGCCAGGTGCATGTCTGGTCTTACTCTCTTGCCACTTTACACCTCCCTAAAGTAATAAAAGCAGCAGGCAGCAGTTCTGCCACCCTGCCAAGGTTAAGCACACTCTCACACGACGGTGTACCAAATCATTCTTTGTGCGCCTTTGAGCCTCTTATCGCTCTACTGGTATTTCAGATCCAAAAGTATTTTTTCCCCAGAACAAAATCCAATTATTGTAGGAGAACAAGAAGATATTATACATCCTATCTGAGAAGAGAAGTAGCTGTGAGAGAGAATCTTGACCTTTATATTTCAGATAACCCTTCTACATATTTTATCTGTTCTTAAAGAATTTCTGAGCCTGGAAGCCAGGTGGTGTTTGGACAGGATGGAGATGCATACCGGGGTTTCTGTTTAGAGCCAGATAACCATCGGGTGTCTTTGTTTTGTAGGCAAATGCTTTCTGTTAAATGTTTCAGTCTGTTTCTGGTTCACTCTCTTCCTGCCTACCTATTCTTATTTCCCCTGTGCGTGCTGTTTCATTTATCTCATCACTCCTTCCCTCATTCACCATTATTCTCTATTCCAGCCGCTTACTATTCAGTTCATCTGCCTCCCAGATGCGTAGAAGTCCCTCGCTTGCCCTTATCTTTCTCCATCACTGAGCCTCCGCCCACTCTTCTACGCTTACCTTCCCTCACAGATCCACCCTCATCAGTCCTCATCTTCCCTCATGACCTCATCTTTTCTCTTTCTCTCTGTCAAGTGACTGGCCACATGCTAATGTGTTTGTAGATAGCAAACACATTGCTATCTACAATGTGTTTGAGAGAGGCCATTAGATAATGTACTGGCTGCCAATGGCGGCATCGCGTTCAGGACATCCTGGACAGAGCAAGTGCTGGTGTTAGCATTTGTCAGCAGTGTGCATACGTGGGTGTGTTTAACGGGCCTGTGAGTGTGATGGCGTCTGCTACTGATTGCTGAGTGTTTGCGTGTGTCTGATTTGATATGTTGTAATTCTCTGCACAGTCTATACAGTGCATATACTCATGTGTGCGTGTGCTTCTGGGTGCAAGCAAGTGTTAATAATGCAGGGCTGTTGATAACACTGAATGATTGATTACAGGGAGGTCATGCAGATCTCATGCAAGATCTCACAGAGCAAATCCTGGCAGCATCATGCCATCTCATTGTGCCCTGTCTGTGCGTGCAGCACACTATCTCTTTAACAGAGTGAGTAACACATCTATATGATGCCTTATTGATGCGGTTTTGTGAATAGCTCCAATGATTTAAGTCTAATTAATGGATCCTGTTACATTAATTTTTAATGTCATTTTGTTCTTGAATTTCACCAAAGATCAAGATTCAAAAACCTCCAGTTTATCTTCTGTCTAGAGATGGCACGATACCACTTTTTTATGTCCGATACCGATACCGATATCATAAATTTGGATATCTGCCGATACCGATATGAATCCGATATAGTGTTTTTTAATCAACAAAACTGTTTTTTAAATATCTTGCTGCATTTTGTATAAGTTCATACTCAAGTTTAAAACAACAACTACACTAAAGCTATTCTGTTATACCTGTATACAAAAGAGAATATTTCATAGTTCAGCAATACTGATCAATCTAATAAACTTAAACCTACACCATCCTCCCTATTCTGGTATTTTAAAGAGTACTTAGCGTAAATATTAAGCAACCTAACTAATAGGGTTCCAACTCCCAGCAACAACAAAAATAAATAAATAAAAAATAGGGAACCACCCCTCACCCTCCACCTCATGATGCTTAATCGACGTAATCAACCTTAATTTGATGCAGTGTGGAAAAAAATGCACAGAAATCAATTATTTTTCAAGAAATATTAAATAGATTCAACATCTTTCTTCAACAAAATTGCAGAATTCACAGATGGTGCCTTCCCAAAGGAAAAAGTACTATAGCTTACTAGGGTATGTTAGACTTAATAGTCACTATATACAGTAATTGACTTCTATTTATTTTACATCAAATTAAAACTTTGGGTGTCAGATAATTATTTATTAAAAGCTAGACATTTTAAATGAGAATAAGAAAGAAAAGTATGTCTTTGTGCCCCCTTTTCCCTGTTCATGCCCTATCGGCCCCCCTGGCTAAACTTTGCTAGATCCGCCCCTGCACAGTTACCAGCGTCAGCTACGTAGAAAAAGATCCTCGAGTAGAAAGTAATATTAAATAACTTCTAACAACAGCTGATCAAGCTTAAACGTGCTGCTGTTGTTCAGCCGCTGGTTTCCTCTTTCTGGTGCAAAGTGGGCCAAAAACAAACAAGAGACACGGACTCACGACAGAAAAGCCGATCAGCTGATCATTAAGCAGTTTCATGATTGAAGTAGCAGCAGGAGAGGCAGTCGCTCCATATATCCCTTGTTAAGCTTAACGCAGGCATGCTTTACAAACATTCAGAGATGGACTTACACACTTGCTTTACTTCTCTCGGGGATAACTTTGTCGGAGATGAAATGCCGGGTTGCTAGCGAAGCTCCACATGCTATCCAGACCACCGACAGGTCCCGCATGCCACAGCTGCTCTATCACGTGATGCATACTGCTCCGACGTGCTAACGTTCTGAGGTGAGTTATGGCGTGTTGCAAGTTTTGTGAGGTGCTTTCGTGATATTTAATGGATCGGATTACATTTTTTATTTTTCTCCGATATCCGATCCAGTAATTTAGGTCAGTATCGGACCCGATACCGATACATAATATCAGATCGGTCCATCTCTACTTCTGTCCAAAACAACCAATTTAGCTCATCTTCCTCTCTTTAAGCTGTCTTTCTTCTGATTGGCTGCCCCTCACAAACAGAAGCTTTGTTAGCTGGTGGGCAGAGATATCCACTCTCTTTGATGTGAAACTGATCACAGACTGACCTCAGTATTTGAAACTTTGGCCACAATTAATATAAAGAGTGACAGAAAACAGCTAATGGGTTCACTTCAAGATAAATCTGAGATTCTATTAATAGCGCCTGGAGTCGGGGTTTGCAGGTGCCTGTTTTGCCGGAGTGAAGCTTATGCCTTCATGCAAGCTTCCCTCTGCACTTACATGCATGTTAATCTACGCGCTTGAACACTTTGCATATTCTTACACCTCTTTCTTCGACACCAGCAGACAGCATTCGGCAGAACACCACACTAAAGTCGTGACAAGAGCGTGCACAGCTCTCTCTCCTCTCCTTTCCTTCCTCCTCGCTGCAGGGAGCCGTGAGAGCGCTTGGTTGAGATTTGAAGTGACAGCTGACTGTTGCAAGGGAGGAGAGGCTCCTCTGAGGACCACACAGCTCAGAGAAAGAGAGAGGCATCCCCGTCCTCAAAGCAATTATGTTTCCTTGCATTACAGTTTATTTGTGGTTGCAGTTGTTTCTTTCATATAAAGACCTTGTTTATCCAAGTGCTGTTAGCTAAAAGTAGTGCTGTGTTCCCAATAATTGGGAACACAAAGCTCTTATTTACTCCCTCGCCTAAAGAGCAACCACTGTTGTCAAGCAGAGTAGTATAAATGTATGTAACATTCCCAGGTGTGGCATTGTTAGTGTTGTATGTGCAAAGGCAAAACCTGTTCCTGTGTGAGCCTATTAGTACAGTATGATGTGCCCTTTATAAAGCCTGAATACATTTTTTTTAAATGCAACTAGCTTATATAATTCTGTGTGTTGTTTTTTTTCAGGTGTTTAACACCTACTCCAATGAAGACTATGACCGACGTAATGAGGAGGTGGATCCCGTGGCCTCCTCTGCTGAGTATGAGCTGGAGAAGAGGGTGGAGAAACTGGAGCTCTTCCCTGTGGAGCTAGAGAAAGGTGGGGAAAAATCTAAGAAAATCCTAATGAAGATGGGATCCTGTCAGCTACTTATCATACCCAACAGACAGAACCACCCACACAGGATGTCTTTGTTTTTTGCTTTCTTCTGTACTTTCCTAATTTTTTTCCTTCACGTTTCCTTCATCCCCTTCCCATAGATCATGCCTTAAAGTTTAAATCTCTCCCTCGACCATTAGCAGTATTTTGTTATTATTATTATTGTTGTTAGATGTTACAAAGAGATAATTCACAAATTTCAATTTGACTTAGATTATCCCAAAAAGCAAGGGTTGCTTAATTCATCCTAATTCCCTAGACGTGACACTGCATGTTTTCCACTTGTCTTGTTCTGGACTAAAATTCATTTACACCCAGGATCTAAAATACACTGACTTTACGTTGTGGGACACCACAATCTACTCTCTGTTATGTAACACTAACAGCATTTGAATTATTAACACAGGACAGGGATGAATGAAGGGCATTTCTCCTCCATTTTTCACATTCTTGTAAAAATTGTTTCATGTCTTGGAGGTTGACGTCTCCTTATTCTTTCAGTTAATACTGAACATATTCACATATTCTGTCATATTCCACAATATGGTTGACATTGTTAACAGAAGTCATTTTGGGTTTGATTGACTGGATCTTTGGACACTTATGAAAATGCAGAGAATGACACTTGAAATTTGTGGGGTTTTGTGTTTCCAGATGAAGACGGCCTGGGGATCAGTATCATCGGGATGGGTGTTGGTGCTGATGCAGGCCTGGAGAAACTGGGCATCTTTGTTAAGACTGTCATTGAGGGTGGAGCTGCGGAGAGAGATAGCAGGTGGGTGCTGCTTTCCTGCTGGATATCACACATTTCTTTCAGTCTAAAAGTGGGTCTGGAGACAACAAATAACATGCACGTAGGATTAAACTTGCATATGTTGTGCAAAAAGTATATAAATGTAGTCCCTCCACAGGAATAAATTTCCATAGATGTTTTTTTCCCCCAGCACCACTCCACCATATTGTCTCGCTCGGTCTTACATGCGCAGTCACACTCTATATCTCTCAGATTTAACAGCAGGGGTTCGGATTATATCCACCGAGAGAGGCACAGTCTTACACAGGTCTGTACCTGTGTAGGTGTGTGTGTAGGTGTGACGGAGTCGTTACATTAAATTATATTTCTTTTTCTCTGCAGAGTTTCTCTGCAGAAAAGCGCTGATTTTTAAAGTCTCTGTTTCTATTTATGTCCTTGGATGTTTTACAGTATTGCATTATGTGTTTTTGTGCATTATGAAAAGTGTAAACAGTGCAGAGTTAGCAATGAGTCAGAGATGGAGGAGATGACAGCTCCTCAGCTGACAGACTGGCCTCTTGAGCTGTCACCTTCCACCTATTAGTTTGTTTGTGTGGTTCAGGTTCCCCATAAACAGAAACTGCTCCTCACAATGCAGTTTGAAGCTAGTGAGCTCTTCATAGAAAACAAGCCTAATGCAGCAGGGCTGTTTGCACTAGGTGTTTACTCCTGGGATTTATTCTTATGGCAGAAATTCTGAGGAACATGACAGTGAGATTAGTTAAAATGTAACCAGCAGAGCGACGGAGAAAAGCAGCGGCAGAAAGGAAGCAGCTCCTTCGAAAGTGAGAAAAGTTGATCTGTTCTAAGATGACAGTTTCACTGACTCCAAAAAGCCTAATTTCCCATGGTGAGTGGGAGAAGTGAGAGAAGTTGAAAAGATCAGAGGAACACTGTGCTGAAGCTCGAGTTCACATTTGTGTGACTGTAGAGTTGAGCCTGTTTCTTTTTTTTTCTTTAGTGGAAAAAAAGTTTTTAGTTTAGTTTCATTTTTACAACAATGCTGTAGAAGCTGTTGAGCGTGCTCCTCCGTGTGCTTGTTTAGATTTTTAGCGATGCTAGCAGCGTGGCTGTAGGCATGGCGACAATAAAAACCAACCTCTAATCTAATAGCTGCCTTGAAATGATGTATTCTGAAAAATGTATTTATGGTCACCAAAGAATGAAGTCTGCTTTGTGTTCAGAGGTAATTAACATTAACACATGTGCACTACTGTGTAATGCAAATTTGGTGATCATTACACAGCAGAGGACAGCCACTGTTGCTATTTCATGAATATTTTTAACATCAAGTTTTTGTGATGAGACGCTACATGACAAAAATGTTGTTCATGGACTGTTCAGCTTTTGAGATTTGGGGGTTATTTTTCTTTAGTAACATATCTGCCTTCAGACTCATGTAATGAAATACAATAAAATACAAAAATACACATTTAGGTTGATATTTTACCACTTTACCTGCTGGACATTGATGCAACATTTGCATGTTAAACATGTTTAAAGTGCTTAACATGCATATCTAAACATAAAATCTCAGAACACTTAAAATATTAACAAACTGACTTAATATAAGTGAAGATATTGGTGAAGTTTAATAGTTTCATAGTGATATTTGTAGTTTAGTGGTGAAATGGACATCTGCACTTAATATAAAGACTGAATAAAAGAAAAGAAAAAGGAAAAAAGAAATATTCACAAATCAAATATCTTTTTACAGCTGGCTTTAAAACAGCCAGAGTGCTGTGCATATTTAAGTAATGCATTCACATTTACATAACGCTCTTCTGTTCTTACTGACCATTCAAACTTTCATTTTAACCATACATACAGCACTTTATGGCCAATTTAGAATCAGCAATTACCCCAACACGCATGTCCTCAGACTGTGGGAGGAAGCCAATGTACTAAGTTTTTATTATACTTCAAGTGAATGAATGCTTCCAACATTATATTGCATCATTAGTGTCTTTATTAGAGATGGAAACACAGCTGTTCTTTATTGTGAATCTGCAGTTCTGGCTGTGGCCTCATGATGGATTTCACAATAGACCATGATCACAGTATTAGAGAAATAAACTGTACACTTGAGATGTTAGTGTCATGGCGGCAAAAAGTAATCAGTAATTTTTGCATGCTCACTTATTCGTGCACACACACACACACAGATATACACAGGGAGAGAAGGGAGGAGTCACTATCCAGAATGTGATTTCCTTGAGTCATTACCCTCCCTGCCACAGGGCTCTGTCTTTGCTGAGTCTGACTTAATGGTCTAATGTGCAGGAGCGCATTCACTCTCAGGCAGACAGAATGACTTGGCTGTGGCTCGATGTCTCGCCTGTGTGTGTGTGTGTGTGTGAGATAGGGGACATGAGGGTGATAGGATGTGTAATTCGGTGTATGTACATTAACTGACAAGGTCCTTTGTTGGCAGTTTTTTGTCTTTCCTGCTGCCTTTGTTTGGAAGTTGTATACCGACTAGGCTCGACCACATACAGCCACATTTGGATGGTAGCATCTATGAAGGTCAGAGAAGCATCTGGACCGCTGACAGACAACCAGCCTGCTGTCTGTCTACCTGTCAGGCCCACGTGTCTCTATACATCCCTGTGACATCTGTGATTGATGCGTCAGCTGTCACAGACATACTAAATTCTGCTCGGCAGCTGGTGTTATGTTGTAACAGACTGGGAGAAGGAGCTGCAGTTTTATATGAAGCCATCAAACACCTCTTCATTTTGATATTATTGTTGCGGTAAATAAAAAGGAAACAGTGCAGAGGATGCATTTGTAGGTAGCTAGTGATTTTGACCATTGTTAAATAGTCTTAGCTACTGTGGCTCTCTCCAGTTTATGAAATTGTAATTGTAGATCACTTGAGAACTCTTTTATCTTTGAGTTTTATTGCTTTTAAATTGAACCTATGGGGGTAGTTCATTCATACAAATCAAGAAAAATCGAGTTAAGAGACCTTCATCTCATCTGCCCATTCTATTTGATAAAAATGTGAGAAATGTACAAGTTTAAAGTTTTCAAGCTTGTGTTCATAAGTATCGAGGAGATGGGCCTTCTTGCACTCTGTTTTGGACCAAATAAAAAACCAAATTGCTGTTGAAGAAGAGAATAATGTGTCTGTTGTGGCTTCCAGCAATTAATTATTAGCACAATTCACTGTTTTGTTGAAAATAATGAGAGCTAGTTTTTGTTTTATTTATATGTTGAAGCAGTTACTCAAAATCCAGATTCAAAATCCCTCTGCATCTTTTTTTTCAGTACAAATGTTCATGCAAATTTAAATTGAATATTCAACAAGGCTGTCTGTTTTAAGCAATTTGTTCGCAGTTCCCCTGAATCCTGTATACTCAAGTCTTATCAGGAGTTTCATTTTAGGTCAAGAACTTAGGCGACCTCCCGTCATGTCCAGAGCAGAGCACAAATACCGGATGTATTGTAGCCGAGGGCCAAAGGCGTCCATGTCCCCATTAGCCCTCATAGTTTGTTTTGAGTCTCATCTCCTCTGTCTCCTTGTTACACAGTAGTCTGGAGCTATTGCACTGGAAATTTGTGACCCCAGAAAGTTTTCCGCTGTTGTAGTTCTATAAATTATGTGAACATGAATGATACGCCAGCGTGTTCGTGACTTTGTGCATCTTTTAGCCTTTGGACCACAATCATTTTCGAATGCAGAAGCCCAGCGTGAGGTCATATGTGCATGCAGATTTCAGCTTATATGTATGCACAGTAAAAGTAAAACGCAGACATTTATTCCTGATGTCTATACTATTGATATATATTTTATTTGCTCCTGCACAGTTGGTGTTGGAGCACCTATAATTTCATTGTACATGTACAATGACAATAGAGGGCTATTGTGTTCTATTCTATTCTATTCATTTATTTTATAATTACATGTTTATTACTATCTTATCTTAAGTGCTGAAAGATTCTTCTTCTTGCATTTGCCAGAATCAAAGTGAATGACCAGATCGTGGAGGTGGATGGGACCAGTTTGGTGGGCGTCACTCAGAGCTTTGCTGCCTCAGTCCTCAGGAACACATCAGGAGTCGTCCGGTAATACACACATGCAACCATAAACTATAATGCAGTCTAATGCAAAAAAGTATTGGGAACAGGACATAGTAATGCTGGAGTGATAACTCCATTAGAATTCAAATTTTGAGAGTTGAATTGTGAAAATCAGTTGTAACAGTACAGCAGGATTTCAGGAAAGTGTGTCAAGCCGCTGTCAGCTCCAAAATCCACGACTACTATTATACAGTCAGAGTTATTTTACAGCTCCCTAAAAGCGCTAAAGCGTTCTTTATATTTAGTGATGGTCTCACTAGCCGCAGGAAGAGTATCAATGCAGTTAGTCCAGCTATTATGTTGCAAAAGTCCTACTTAGTGAGAAATACCTTAACATTACATGACGAGCTGTTTTTGACAGGGTCTGCTAACAGCACTGGGAAGCAGAGGAAGTACTCGCACACATAGAGATGTGAAAGAGAAGGCTGCGTTTAGTTGATTCTCGCTCTTGTCTGTCCTGTTTATTGACAGGCTTTCGTTTTTATTTCTCTCTCTCTGGATTCTCGCCATTGTGTGTTATTGAGGATGTTCTCCACTCTTTTCATTCTGCCACTTTTTCACCATTTCTTCTTCAGTCATCTCGGGAGAAGTGTGCGAGTTTATTTTCAGACCTCGACCTTGCTGGTGTAGAGCCCTCCATTCTTTGTCATGGATCTATATTCATATTATGCTTGAACTCACCTGTGGAAAGACAGATAGCTGTGTGGGAACTACAGTGTCTGATGAAAAGCTGAAGGCTGAACAAAGAGATATCCAAAATAATCAAAAGTGTTGGACAGATGATGTTTGCTGAAATAATATTGACAGTGGAGATTTTCCAGGATGTGGCTGTACAGATGAGACAGCCTTGAAAACGCCGACGTATATCATCTGTCCACCTCGCAAATATAAAGAAATAGTTATGACAAGTCTAAAAACTGAAATACACTGACGTACTTGTAAGATATATAAATGTTGTAGTCCAGTATATGAACATTAAACTCTGACAGTGTTTACAGGAAATATAATGATAAATCTCACTCCTCGCTGTTATTTCTTCCAACAAATTATCACTCCTCCTGCCCTCTCTTCACTGTCACTCTTTCAGTCTTCATCCATCAAGTCTCACTCACTCCACCCCCTCCTCCTCCTCTGTAAATCCTTCTCTCACTCCGTCTGATCACCAGGGGTTTTATGGCCAACTGTCCTACATTTGCCATTTTGCTATATTTACCCCGGCTTCCAGCAGCAAATCATCCAGGTTTAGAGGTGATCCCAGGATCTTTTAAAAACGTGCTGCCAAGACCCCATCACAGACAGGAAACTGTTCCCAAAATACATGGAACATTGGAAAATGGCTTTAGCACATAATAGATAGCATTAGATAAAAAGAATAAGGACATCTGTGTTTGATTGATTACGGTATTTATTTGTCACAACAATGATTCTTGGCGTTATGCAACCCTGATACGCAACTCTCACGCACAAATGCATCAATGCATCAGAATTATTGTCAAGAAGCACTGTTACAACAAACAAATACGAGTTGAGGAAACAAAATTTCTTATTTTTTGTTAAGTTGAAGTTAATATTTTGTATTGATTAACTGTTTTACAGAGCTTTGGAAGAAGCATTTAAATACTCTGAGTAAAAGTGGCAATGTTACAGTGTAAACATGTTCTTCAAGAAGAAGTCAAGTACACAAAATACTACTTAAATAAAAGTTAAAAAGTGTCATACTATCTATGCCTTTTATCCGTAGCTCATTAAGCGTTCTTATCTTCTGTTACTGGAGTGTATTTGAGTTATTGTTTTAGAGTACATCACTTTGATAATGCATCTTGAGCTAATGTAGTTGCTTTATTCTTTGCTGTGGGTCTAATTCTATAACGAGATATCATAATTTATCAGTATTTATTCTGCTAAATAATTAGTAACTAAAGCTTTAAAATAATGTAACAGTAACTGCCCCCAAACTTTAGTGGAGCAGAAGTAAAAAGAAGCATTTCAAAGTATTTAATCGAAGTAAATACACATCATAGTTATACTTAAGTGCAGTACTTGAGTAAGTGTATTTTTTGCATTCCACTATCAGACTTAATCATGCTCTAAATTGAACTCAGATTAACTTGCAGTAGATACATTAGATAGCATGTCTCCAACACGGCTGACCAGTCATATCTGGTATGTGTGAACCTGTGCTGACATCCTCAAACGGCTGTCAACCCAGTGCTGCTTAATGCTCAAGACGTGTGTCCTGCATTGCTTCTCCAAGCATCACTTTCTGCATCCTTGCCACGTCTCTATTAATTGGAGTAAATGGAATAAATCAGTGGTGTCTGCAGCTGAGCTGATCCTGCACAGCATCCTGTGTGGCAGTCCCAGATCTTAAGGAGAAACTACGACAGGCTCCCCATGCGTGAGCGGAAAGGCTCTTTTCAGGTCAGCTACTCTTCAGACCTCCCTGCTGTCCAAAGGCTTCCTACAGTAGAGTACTTAGCTTAACCCCTCCAACCCCCCTTCTTTTTCTACTTACTGTGTGTCCTGGCCCTCAGTTGTTCCTTCACATGTAGATCAAATACGCCTCTCTGCTGGAGCGTAAGGCTTTCTCTACATCCCCTTTAGAAATATATAAAAGAGCTCTCGGGAGATGAATTCACTTGATTAGACCCCATCTCCGATCCACTCTCGCTCTCTTTTTCTGTTTTCTTCTCTCTCTCACACACACACACGCGCACACACAATAGCTCGGGCCTCGCTCACACATACACATAGTTACAGGGACCCTGCAGGGTGAGCCACAAAAATCCCCTTACTTGATTGCTCGGCTTCGTTGGTGTTACGAGGAGAATAAATTGGTGATTGCGTTATAAATTTTCTTTTGAGTTGCAGAACTATTATTTGCTTTAAGTTTTTACATTTTGAGCAGAAGCGTGATGAGAGAGATGAGCATCTTTTTGCTTTGTTATCCCCTTATTTGTAGCTCTAATTTGTACTCTCAGTGCTCCCTCTCCCTGTAATATAGACAAACACAAATCTATAAGCAATCTTTAGCTCCTGCTCTTTGTCATCATCGGCATCTTTAGCTGTATTTTAATGTGATATTTTCTGTGTTTGTTTGCATGCGTAACTGCTGGTCTTCTCTGTTTAGTTCTCTGCCAGCTTAATAACAGGCTGCCTGGCCGAGCTGACTGTCGCCTCACATTATTATGCGTGTCCTGTCTCCCAGCCCTGCCCACTACGTCAGCACATATCGCTGCCATTGCTATGTGGCTGTGGGCCTCTGTTTTGCTCTCTGCGTTACTGTTGTGTTCATTTCCTTGCATAAATACACATCACAACAAGAAAGATGGACAAAAAATGAATTTAAAGTTGTTTTCCTCTTCTGTATGATTTTGTAAAAAGGTGCATGTCAGGCTACATTATTAGGTTAAATCATAAGTTCCAGAGAGGTTTGTAGTTACGTTGTAGGTTATGATGTAGATGAAGTATAAATCGAGTGTCAGACAAATGTCAAACCCTTTAAAATATTAAAAATGAAAAATATTCGTTTTTGTCAGATGCTACATTTACGATTAAACCCTTTATATCGAGTGTCTAAAGAAAATAAATCTGATAACTCACAGTGTGAAAGGTCGTGGTTTTGTAATTATAATATTCATACTTGTAATTACAAGATAAATTATTTAACAAATTCAAATAGTCATGTGGTAACTAAAGCTGGCCGATATTGGTCCATATTAGTTGCTTGCCGATCTGTTAATATTTAGTAAGTAAAAGAAGACGTGAGAAACACCCTTCAAACATGTTTTGATGTTTCATTGTTTGTCCACCAGAGGGCGCTGCAACTTCCCTGCTGTGTTTTAAATGCTAAAGACGCAACAATGTGATCCAGGCTTCCATCCATCCAACATCGGCCGACATATCGCAATATCAGCATTTTTAAATCACCAAATATCAATCCTATATCTTTTAGGCTCTACTGTCATGTTGTGTAATCCCGTGCTGGCCGCCTCTGTGTCTGTAGGTCAACAGTGCCTCTTGTTGCCTCTATATTGTAATATATCTATATCACTAAAGCACTTCTGGATGGATGCAAACTGCATTTCGTTGCCCTGTACCTGTGCATATGCAATGACAATAAAGTTGAATTCTATTCTATTCTATTCTATTCTATTCTATTGTTGTCACAGGTTTGTGATCGGCCGGGAGCGTCCAGGTCAGCAGAGTGAGGTGGCCACGCTCATCCAGCAGACCCTGGAGCAGGAAAGGAGACAGAGAGAACTACTAGAGCAGCAGTACGCCCACTATGACGCCGATGATGATGAGGTATTGACCATACGCAACCCTGGCCACTGCCCTGGGTGTCCTCTACAGTGCATTTGAGACTTTGTGAATGATAGTCTGAATATGCAAAGGTGCAGCCAGGGTAAGATGCCAGCCTCTTAATATGAGGAACATTATCTTAATAAATCTCATTATATCTGCATGTATTTGAGGTTCATTTGCTAACACATTTCTCTACATGACACCGTAGTGAGAAAATGAGGCTTCTGGTTGTCACTTAATGCAAATAAGCTCCTTTCTCCTTCCAATGGGCTGGAAGTTATAGCTTATTAGCTTCATAAAACTGAGTGACAGTAGGCTTTGATGCTGACACACAGAACAGCCTCTCTCTCTCAGCCACACATACTAAGAGCCATGCGAGAGTTGGTCCTCGAAAGCATCACTCAGCATTTCTTTCTCTGATTCTGCTGCTTACTTGCTTGTTTAATCCACCAAACACTGAGCTCAGGGGCCTTCATATCTTTGAGTATGTGTGTGTGTGTGTTCATGTAGACACTCTTACACTGTGTATACACAAGACATAACACAGTGTAGTAACATAAATCAATACCAAGTGTTTCCTCACTTACATACACAGAAACAGCCGCACTCATGCGTAGATATACATGCAGACAAACACTACCAGACATCTTTCACTGTTTTCATCAGTGCTCTTTGAAGCTTTTCATTTCCCTGCAGACGGTGGATTGAGAGCACTCTTCATGCTTAAGAAACTCTTTTCCAGGCTCTGAATGCTGATACTACATGTCAGCACTGCCTAAGCTCCTACAGAGTGTTAAGGCTCAAATGTAATGTAAGATTTCAATGTTGAAAAAGAAAATAAACACTTTAAGGGCTTTTTTCCCTTACAGATCCCCACATGGACATATAAACATAAGAATGGTGATTATATTAAATTTGTTAATCCATACATCGATTAGAGCCTGCTGTAAAATGAATCAAAATCAGCCTCTGTGGAGCACTAAGGCATCCATAACTTGCTGCTGATAGGATAAACGGTTGCAAAAGGATTACAAAGATGCGTGTGGCAGTAAAAAGAGCTCATCAATATTAAAATCTTTATAAATATTAGAAAGAGTCATTGGGTGGGTGGGAGTTATTTCTCAATCTGAGGGCTGCAACAGAGTCTTCAGCTCTTTATTGGTGCTTAGAATCAGATCCCAAGAGGAAGGAGGAGTGCATTTAACAACAGACATGCAGCAGACACATGCATGCCCATCTGTTAACAGTTAAATGGAAGCATAGCCCACAAGTCTTATATTCAACCTTTGGTCCTCTAAATAATCTCATGCAATCTTTGTCATGTTCAACATAATAAATAGTAGTGACAGAAAGACAAATAATTCAGTTATCAAAGTTAACAGTATAGTAGTATGTGCTAAAACAATAATAATAATAAGGGTGGAGCTGGAGGATTACTGTTACAGCAGCCAAAAAAATAAACACAACATATAAAGTAGAAGAGCTTAGTATTATAAATACATTAATAATTAAAAAATAATAGAATAGCAATAATAATAAAATGAAGCAATAAAGTAATAATAAGTTTGCAAAATTGTGCTAAAGATGGAGTTGAATTAAATATAATAGGTTAAGCTTAATGAGTAGAAACATAAATAAAATAAATACTGATGTCGTGGTGTGAGGCAGGAAAGATCTCCTGTATCTGTCAAAACTGCTTCCAGTCAAAGGTGCATCACATGCTGGGCACCCTCAAAAAGGATTGTCTTTATACATTCAGTAGGAGGAAGTTATACTGTGCAGATGACGGTGCTCTTGTGTGTTTAATGGTCAACTCCACCATCTGTAAATGGTAGCTTAATGTATGTAGATGGCACTGTTTTAACAACCGAGCCTGTTATGGAAATGGGACCATTCGATTGCGATGCATGTGACTGAATCAGGCCTGAGCCCTGCTATCTGGGAGATAGTTGGAGGGATGTGCAGGGAAAGATGAGGAGAAGATGTAGGGCACAGTAATGAGTAGAGCTGAGAGCAGAGGCACAGAAGTGTGTACGTGTGCATGTGGAGCGCGGGTACAAAGACAAGTGTACAAATATTTTCTGTATTTCATTACACAACTGATGATGGAAACTCACAGTATAAGCTAATTGTTGCATATCAAGCCTTTATCATTTCTGAATCATATGGAGATTATAAAATGTATTTGTGATGAGAAAGCAAATTTGCAGGGGGTAAAAGTAAAAGTAAGCTGCAGATGTTTCATGGAGCAGCTTCACTGGAAGTGTTCGAGTCTGTTGGTCATCAGCCAAAGACTGAATCAACAAATCCATTTGGGCCCAGTGCTTAATGGTTTTTGCCAATACTCATTATACAGTGTTTTGGGCATCAGAGAAGAGAAAAACTGCCTTGAATACATGCAGTGTAATGGCCTACATAAATATTTTTCATTTAAGTACTACTAAAAGCTGCAGTAATAAGTTGTTTCCGGTGACTTTCATTAGTCTCTTCATTTCTGAGAAACCCCGGCCTTCTCAGTCGTAGCGTTAGCCCCGCTGGATGCTCATACCTCACTAGTTTTGACATGTGACCTTGTTGCACTTGAGGCAAGATGGTGAGTAATTTAAAAAAAAAAAAAAAACCCAAACAGGGACAGATTTTGTCAGCATAACTTATCTGATGGCTTACTTTTAAAGAAATTATAATTTCAGCTCACCAGGCTGTCAAACTGATTTATTTCACACAAAGTTTAGGCATGGTTACCTAAATCTTATGTAACCGGCACCATTAAAATAGCATTACTTATGTAAAGTAGCAGGTGAAGCGAGGACGGCTTCAACAACATGCTTAAGAGTTTCGGGTAGTCAGACGAAAGAAGATGGAAAGGATGTAAAAGGTGACAAATACAAGGCTGTAACCACCAGAGCATTGCTGGCGAGACCAAATCTAGGTTTGGGTGTCTTGTGTCTTCTACTTGTAATGAAAAGTAAATAAAAGCAACTGCTTTCTGCAGAAATTACTGGCAGGGGCAGTTTGATCATAGTTGAATCCAAGGGGGGATGTATCCCCTCCAACATGATTACAGCCTTGGATAATTAAATGTCACAGTTGGAGCCTGACAGGTTATCTGTTTTGTCCGTTTAGGCTATTCTGCAGCCTGTTAACTTCTCACTGGAGGGTGAATGCTAATAGCTGTATTGGCTTCACTGTAGGAGTGGCTAATTGCCTGTTCAGTTAGTCATTTCACCTCAGATACCGCTGCTGCGTTTGCACTGTACTTAAAGTGACATCTGTCACACATTTCACTGGTTTTGTGCGAGTTTGTATAGATATCAACCTTGACTAAAGTTTGTAGAAGTTCTGCTGGCTCTTTCCTGCTGTGCCTGCAGACTTGTGATGACAGCATGCAAATAAATGTCACTTTTACAAGACCTCGGGGACCCTTTACTAATATAAAACCTCTGTCATTTAAAAATGAATGACAGACAGACTGAAAACCAACCTTGGTTGCTTCTATTTATTCTTCATAAATGTGATAATATTAACCATCTGTGCTTTACAGTAAAGATTAAAAAATAGTGTGTGTGTGCTACTTGGATTTATATTTTGTGCTCTGTTTTAAATATTCATGCAGATAATTGTCTCCACGTGTGATTTTACATTTCCTCCTAAAGCAGACGGGAGAATACGCCACAGACGAGGAGGAGGCAGGAACAACAGTGGCGGGAGGAGAGAAGAGCATCGAAGTGTTTGACTTACCGGAGACGGAGGATATCTTGTCTCCGTCGGAGCTGGACGCCACTAAACTCTACCAGAAGTTCAGAGAGGTAACCTGAAACGCCGCTGAGTCTTGATTACATAACTGATGGGAGCCTACAGCATTTTTCTCTGTCAGTGGTTTGAAGCGTACATTGCAAATACACCCGCAAAGCCACCAGAATTGCTTAGCTACTGAAAAAAGGTAATTAAATTTAACAACAGAAGAGACAAACACAATAGAGCCTCTGCTTAACTTGGCAAAACGATGCTTTTGTTAAGATCTGCGATCCGCTTACCCTCCCTAATTGCTAATCTGAATGATTAGAGGTGTGAACACAAAGTGATGTAAGTCCTCATTACACCTAATTGCCCGTGTTTTTAGTCGAAACTCCCAGAATAAGAATGAGAGTGAACACCATAAAGCTGGTTTTGAACCAGATCTTGGCAGCGCTTCACACACTGGGTTCCTCAGAATAGAAGCTCTCTTTGTTGAACCTCTGCTACCTTCGCTAACAGTGAACTCACTTTGAAGATTACAGCAATGAAACAGAACATAAATTTACTGACAGTTAACTCATTTATGCTTTAATGCTGCTAAAAAGCTGGTAATATCGATCTCGCGCTCCAACACCGTTACCATCAGCGCTGTGGCACAATTGCTTCCACAATTGCTGTATGACACATTTAACAAATGGCTCCAGCTGCACTGCAGGCACTGCAGTGGATATCGAGTGAAAATATAATGTAATCCCTGGGCTCAGGGTGTGTGCTTTTACTCCATTTTGTCATTTTCTCTGCTTCTTGACCTCTCTCCCATAGTTCAGCTTTTCCCTTTCATTCTTAAACGCCTCTGTTTTTGGAGTCTTTTAGGAAGCAGTTGACTATGGGGCTGTCAGGCTTTTGTAAATGACAGAGAGAAAATGTGATGATACAAGATGCTGTTTGAAACAGCAATGATTAATTGTGCTATGAAAAAAATTGGCACGACCAAACTTGTGATGGCGTTGCTTTAAAACGGTCCCAGGTCTGCAACCATCTGCAGTCAGCTGTGACTTTAATGATGACAAAAAATGTTGATAAGAAACAGTCAGTTTCTGATTGAATTGAGTCGAATGGTTAAAGTTTGCAATTGTTGCAATCTTTCACTGATAATATGATGATTAATTGAGATAAATTGTCACTGTCTACATAGATTGACCCACATTGTAAATCTGTATTTATAATTTAGGCAGCAATTATTTTTAAACCTTCACCAATTTTTCTCATCTGACTGCAGTCAGTCAGAGTCCGAGTGCAGTGTATTCGCTTTGTGATCCACAGAGGTTGACGGTGTCGCGCGCTCACCCTCTGCAAACTACTCCTAAATGAAAAAGAAAATCTGCGCTATCACTGAGACACCACCACATTTTTTTTTGGTCTCAAGGAAGTTGCTGTCCTATTTTTACTCCAGTGTGAGTGAGCGATAAGTAAATTATCTATCAGATGTCCACTGATTTGTAGACACAGCCAAATATTCTCCCCCAGTTTTAGTCAAACCTCTTTAAAAAAAGGGGAGGATGACTCTTTATATTAGAAAATGAAAGCTCTGCAAAAATGTAACGCTCTGCAGGTCTAACACAGTCATTATCCCAACATGTACCCACTTTAGTCAGTCATTTCTTTTCCTTTGTTCCCTCTTAGACTTGCTGCATCACTGAGCTTTATTCAGACTCACTAGGTCCAAGGATTTCTAGAAGTTGTTAGAAGATGTTATGCAGAAGCAGATTAACTTTTGCACCAAAAGATTGGAACCTCGAAAGCTACACAACTACCTCTTGCTATTTTTGCACATGCACCAGAGCCCTGAAGTTTTCTTGGAGTTACACAGTAGCCGTGTGTTTAAGAACACACGTCGAACACCTGTCAGTCTCCTAATAAATAAGCTGTGTGATGTTGGATTGCACTGACGTGTGAACAGAACAGCTCATATCCTCTTGCATTCACTACTAGTGAGTGTGCATCATGCACTGCCTCCTATCCAGGCAGCTCCCTCTTCTCAGCCTCACAGAGTATTTCTAGCACTGCCACCTACTTCCTGCCGTGTGTGACATGTGAGAAAGGAGAAGTGTGAAAAATATCCTGATGTGATTCTACCAAAATTATTTGAAGTTGTGTGAAAACTTCTTAACTTGCGCTACTGAAACTTCACAGTAACTTTTGGTAAACTTTAAAGTGAATTTTTAAACAGAAGCAGAACTGTTGGTATTGTAACTAATTTCTGCCACTGGAGGTACATCAGCTCACACAGAGATAGTGAATGATTGCAACAAAGAAACACTTTTTCAGTATATACATATAAGAATTTGATATTTGCTTTCAAACATAATGAAAGAAGAATTTTTCAGGAGTAATTAGAAAAAAGTATGAGTATCAGTATTAGTACTTTAAAAAAGTTCGGCCAGTGCTCTGTGTGTCACGCCTCTACTTTTCTCTCAGAGCTTTCACTTGTTTCCATATCCTGCTCTCTCTCTCTGCATCTCCTCTTCTCCTGTTTATGTCTGCTCAGTCATTATCTAACTTCCTGTCTGCCTCTAATGGACCACCCATATACACTTGTACATCTAACTAACACCTAAGTTTCTTAGATTTTTTTTTTTTTAGTTTAGTTTTAGTTTTAACATTGCATTAAAAATGCAAAACGTTATTCCATGTTAGAAAATGTATGACTTTTTTTCCCTTTATGGCTTCTTTAAACTACTTAGCAATTCATGCATCCCTCAGCTTTCCTTGCCTCTCCTCTGAGAGTGCATGTCAGTGCTGGAGCTGGGACGCTGTCAGGGGGAGGACAGAGTCGGCTGCCTCTGTCCATCACGCTGTATCGACGGCACAGAGAGCCTGCTCAGCCATCCATTTGATTCTTGACCGCCCTCTCTTTTCTCTCCTGTTTTCTTTTTTTCTCCTCCTCTGCTACCAACAGCTCCAAATCAAACACACGGTGACCGAGGCCGAGATCCAGAAACTGAAAAACAAGGTAAGGGATTAAAACCGTCTCTGGGCAATCAGGCGACTGGTTGTGGGTGTGTTTTGTCAGTGTTTACATGATTTTTTAATCAATGTGAGACTTGGGTCAGGATAGCCGGTGAGCAGCGGTTCAAGCTTGGTGGAAATGTTTGGGAGATAAACTTTGGTGTTATAAGCGAGAGATGTTTTACAGAAACAATCCACAGCTAAAATACTTTAAATACACTTTATACAACTATTGAAGGTAGTGTTGTCTCTTTGCATGACGCACTCAGTGTTGTCAGGGTCTCTGTGAATGCATTTGTGCCTGCATGCATATAAATAACTGTGTATTATTCATATGCAGTTTGATCAAAGTGGTGCCTATAAAGCTTTTTCCATGACAGTAACGATGTTCCTTGTGATGCAATTTGTACTCTTAATAAGTCTTTGCTCCAAAAAGGCAGTTTTATTAGCTTTTGCTTGCTGATTTTATAACTGTAGGTTTGATTTTGTCTTACTTTGAGACCTTCAAAACGTCCAACAAGCTCGTGTTTTAACAATTAAAAAACAGTCTATAACTTCTTACTTAATATTGGTTACATATCCTGTTAAAAGTGCCTGTTTTTTGGCATGTGTATATGTGTAATATGTTGTATATATAGTGTTGGACATTATTGGACAATGCTGATTTTGTCCTGCAGCTGGCATCAGTGGAGCGGGAAAAGCAGCGCTGGGAGAAGGAGAAGAGCCAGCTGAAGGCCAGCATCGAGGAGAACAAGGAAAGGATGTTGAAGCTGGAGAGCTACTGGATCGAGGCGCAGACGCTCTGCCACACCGTCAATGAACACCTGAAGGAGGCCCAGGCCCAGTACCAGGCTCTGGAGAAGAAGTACAACAAAGCCAAGAAGCTCATCAAAGACTTCCAGCAGAAGTGAGTGAACTCTGGTTAAACTGATCACATTGGACCTCTCACTGTGTTTATTTTTCTCGGTCATGAAATCTCAGTTACATTAAGCATTGGACCAATGACAGTGTTTTGGGTTCAACTGCTAATACAGTTTGAAAATGTAAGTCTGCTGGACACCGGCAGCAACTTAGGTTACTATAACTAATCATGCACTTTCTAATTAGGGTCATTTATCTGAGCTTACAACATTAGTCCAACTGAAAGAATGCTGAATGTACACAATTTAAAAAAAAATCATTGTAATTTATAGTCACATCTATGAGGTAACTTCAGTGAGGCTATTTATAGTCTTTTATATGATTATATAAATTATATATGATATTATATGATTATATATGATCTTGCAGGTATTTATGATGTCACATACTGGCAATCCCAGGTTCGGTTCACTATTTTCACTCAGTTTCAGATTTTAATGTGCTAATGTGTGCTAGCAGTTAATCAGAAATGATTTATGGAAGCTAGTGCATTGGGAAAACTAAAAACTGAACATCCGAGTGATTAAAAATGGGAAGGAGACAAGAATGTCCTAACAAAGTTTCATAGTTTCAAATTCTATGAATATTGCATATTATGTAAGAAAAAAACATTGATTACTTCTTGAGGGACTGAAATCAGGGCAAAAAAAAGACTTATGTGCGATAAATTTTGTCTAGTTAGCCATACTTCATACAAAATCAGTCTGTTTCCATATGTTACTGTAGCATAACTGAGTCAGAAACCTCTGCCTAGGTGCTTTCATTAAATGTACTCTTCTCAGCTTGCCGAGAGAAGCAACAGCTAAGAAGGAAACCTCACATTTATTATAACACTTCAACTCTTTCAAATGAGTACTTTAGCATTAATCCTACAAACATATGTTTTAATTAAAAAAAAACTTGGATGAATTCCTTTGTTTTTCCTTTTACAGCTACCCTCACTTCTCTCAGTGAACCTGAAAAACAATATCTACCTCATTTCCATCTGTGAGCTGGACCAACTATGTTTCTTTTAAGCCTTATCCCAGTTCAACAGTAAGAACTGTGTTTCCATTTTAATGCAGTGCAGCACTCCCTCCTTTTCTGTGCACTGATTTCAGAACCTCTCCTGCTCAGCTTCAGTGTGACTGGATATAATTGGCTGTGCCCCTGCAGGCCAAATGGAAGCAAAGCGGTGAAACAAACTCTCCATGCTGATCTGTACCTTCGGCCTGGGCTGCAGAGGAGAGAGACTGTGTGCCTTTCATTATGCAAACGTCCTCGCGTGCTCTTTCCTCCTTTGACCTGGAAATTGTTTCTGTCTCCCATCACGGAGGTCTTCAGATCCCCTTAAATGCACCTTTAAGGAGAGAGCATCCATCTGGAGGGGCTTAAAGTGAAAAAACACAGGTGTATCCTTCCTTGTGTCTCTCCCTCACATCCTCAGTGGGAGGACTTAAGATGTGATGAAGAAATGAGACAGGAAAGCAAATAGAGGGGGGTAAAGTAGAGGTAAAAGGGAAAAAAAAGATGCGTGTGTTAACCGGGAACAGCGTGATCGGGGTAAAATGAGTCATTCTGGCATCCTCAAACAGCCTCAACTCCCTTATTACCACAGCTGAGCGAGAGGCAAGGCACTATCACACATGATGAAATGTGCACATGCACATATTATAGCTGTATCTTGTTTCCTGTGTTAACACACATCTCCTCTCCCCCGCCTCCTGTTCCTCCAGAGAGGTGGAGTTCATCCAGAAGGAGGATGCAGAGAGGAGGCGGCTGGAGGAGGCTGAGAAAGCTCACCTGGCTGAGATCCAGGGACTGCAAGTCAGGGTAAGCTATCTTTTTTTTTTTTCTATCCACTTTTCATTTTTGCCATAACTGAATAGCTTCCTGCCTTGTAGCTGTTCAGAGTGGGCTTGTAAAATTAAGCTATTTGCCCTTAAATAACATTGAAAATATGCTAATGAGTGACACAGTCTGGCTTTGTGTGAAATTACATTCAAAGCCAATAATCAGCATGGACATAAAGATCTTTAGGAGCACCCCCCTGTGCTTTTTCTGCCACTTGGTGTTTCTTGTGATGTGCTCAGGCCCAGTGGTCACACTTTCTCACATGTCGTACTGCCTCTGCCGCCTCTTGTTTGCCGTTTCACTCTTTTCAATAAAAAGGAAGTGCGACACAAAGATAATCGTGCTGGTGTGAGGTTTAATCATCAACCTTTAGGCCTTTCTTCACAGCTGAATTGTCAATCAAGCCTTTATTTTTTGCATTCGACACTCATTCCTTTACTGGATTTCAAAGGGTAAATAGTCGAGGGTGGCACAGGTAAGAGTTTTGGAAAACAGTAGACTCTTTATACTCTGATACTCCCTCCGTACAACAACACACAGAGTCTCTGTTTAACTACACTGACATACTGGAACAATTGTACTATATGTTCAGATATTTGTACACACTTGGCCAACCCCTGAAACTGATTTCTAGGTCTGTGCTCCTTTGTTCAGCCCCTCATTCATCAAGGATATGAAACAAGCTATTTTAGGTCCACTACCTAAGCCAACTTTCTTCTGATTGGCTGTCCCTTGTAAACAAAAGGTTTGAGCAGCAGAGAGGTGGGGAGGCTTCTGTGTTTACAGCCAGAGCTGTCACTGCATTCCCTTCCCAATTCATGACTCAGGATTGTTTACGGGAAAACCCACTCGATTTGGATTTCCAACGCCGACTATACAATTGAAGATGGTGACAGTCCACATAAACACTGGTAAAACTGTAAAACCTTTCTTTTGTACACTGTTGTGGGCTGCAGTGGCTTATTCCTAGCTAGCTTTCTAAGGAGGAAATCTCCTTTTTCCTTGCTTTTTGTCGCCACTGTGGTATTACTGTGGAACGTGATTAACTCAGGAATTAGCTCCCTCTGAGCTCCAACATCTTCTGAGGTGCCAGAGCTGACCATATTAAGGATGTCCACCCTCAGTGACATCATACAGAACCGAGTCTAGTAAAACCTGCCTGAAACTGAGAGTTTGGAGTAATTTGAAACCTGAGCTTGTAGCTCATAGGGATTACATGCACAGATGCTGACCTCTTCATTTTAAACTTTTGTCATGTTTAATTTAATTGTAACAGTAAATATATGAAAATAAGAAAAAGAATTACAGGTCCACTTTTTTCAGATCAAGTATAAATGTGTTTTCTGATCATCTCAGCATGTCACCAATTGTTCCAGCGCTTTAAAGCAGCTGTTTGACAGGTATATGCCTACAGGTGATTAACATCAACCGGTTGGCCCCTCTCTACAGATTGCAACCTTAGAGTCGGAGCTAATGCAGCTGATGAAGCAGAACGGTATCCAGGTCAACAACAACAACAGCAGCAGTTCTGAGAGGCTCAGCGCTCAACAGCACAGCCCGAGCCGAGCTGCAACACAAGCCAGAGGTCTGTTTATGTGGGAACTGCCCATTATGGAAAAAGTATAATATCTCTATATGTTGTTGTTCTGCTTTTTGTTTGTTTGTTTTTCTTACCAAGAAGCTCAATGTCATTCACATCTGTAAGAATTTTATTGGAATTTAAAGGTGAACCAAGCAGCTAGCTAACTTAGCTTAGCAGTGGTTTTAATTTATCTTTTGATTAAAACTTTATTTAGTTTTAATCATAATTTACGCATCTAAATTCTTTTCGTTTTAGTCTTTTAAATATCACGAGATTATGATGAGAGATTCTCAACACAGTTTAGCATTTCCGTTTCCTTTACATTAATTGCAAAATGTGTCCGTCTGTCTGCTCTTCTCTTCCTCACAAGTGTTAAAAATTTGTCCCATTTTCATGTGAAACAGGGAGCATGGGTCCTAGTTGTAGCATAAAAACCAAAAACACAACTTAATAAATTCTGATTGGATCTTGTCTCTCCAGACTATTTCCATCTTGTTTTTGTCCCTGTGCATTAATTTTATTTAGTTATTGTCAAAAACTATGATGAAAATCACTGGTCAGTGAAATTAATACTGCTTAGCAGGTGTGGGAGTAGTGGGAGTAAAACCAGAGCTGCTACCAGTCCCTCTAAAGCTCACTAATGAATATGTCATATATTGGTTTGTTTTGTATGAATCAGTAAAAAACTGATAAATTAAAAAAGAAAAGCAATCATGGTGATTATTTGCCTTCTTTATTTACACTTCATTGATTGAACAAAGATCTTAAAATGCTGGTTAGCACATTTCGCTAGCTCTGGCTAGCCGTCGCTCTCTTAGCTTTTGTGCTAAGTTAGCTTGTTTAATGAATCTTGCAGTTTAATGATGATTTTGCTTTTAAAGTACATTAAAAAACATTGCATTATCCAGTTTTTTACTGTTAACTCACACACTCCATTGTAGATAATATAGAAATATCCATTTCATTTTAAAAATCCTCACACTTGAACCTCTGACTCCAGTTTCACTCTGAACTACTGCAAATAAAAACAAACAACTAATCAGTCCTGAGCCCATCTGTCAGGGTTTCTGTCAGGCTTTGTTCTCCTCAAGTCTTTTTAAGCTCCGCTGGCTTCATTTCAGTGGCTGTAACCGTCAGAACAGTAGAAGAAGCACCATATCTGGTGCAGTTCAGCGGATAGCAGAGTGATTGCATCAGCAGTGAGATGAATGATGCAGCCCATGTATGCTATATTAAAACAAGAGGGGCCAAGGGATACGGCTTGAACGGGATATAAAGGAGAGAGCACACGTGGGAGGAGAATACAGGGTCTGCTGAAATTATCTTTTTGAAATTTAAGTGATTCAGTCTTTGTTTCATCTGACAGCATCTCCATGCGCACTCAGGGAATGAGGAGAACGATGATAATTGTCTGCCTAATTAGAAGTGTCGCTCATGGGGGAAGTTTGGACGTTTTAACTGAGTTGATGGTTTTTTTTAATAGGTGTGTTTAATGTGGGTGTCGACACGGGGTCAGGGAAAATTAAGAAGTTTAAAAAAAGTAAAATTTAAAAAACAAACGTCACGGATGGACAGATGTCATCATGAAGGGATGTGCTCAGGTATACCAAAAGCTGTTTTTGCTCACCATTTCTTGTGTGTGTGGGTGTGACTCTAGACACGAAGGAGGGCTCTCCCCACTCACCCAGCAAAATAAAGGGCTACGGAGGAGTTCCCAGAGACAGCATCTGCTCCACAGACGAGGTTTGTATTAACATGTTTCCTTTACTCAGTGAAACCTTAACACAGTTACACGATTTCTTATTTAACAACTGTTGAAACATGAAACAGACGTGATGCAGACAGATGTGACTTTTAATCAAACGAGCTCCATTATTCTCATTAGCGTACTCTTACATTTAATATGTCTCAGATTTCACCACAGGGTGTTTGGTATGTGCGTGTTTGTGGGCCTTTAACCCCTGTCCATTCCACTTTATTCCTTCTAATGGATTAATTGCCGCTTGTTGCTCTGCCACTTTAATTGAGTGTGTGGTTCTGTCACAGCTTATTGTCTCTCCCAGTGTGATAATAACAGCTACAGTCTTTTTTTTCTGGATGAAAGGCTCGGGTTTGGCTAATGCTGTCACTTAACTCAGCAAGTTCAGATTAGATAAACAACTCGAGAACTGGATCAGAATTGGCAGGAACACAGAAGCTAAGGCACTGTGGCGCTTCCTGGGGAAAAGAGGGCAAGGAATTAGAAATGGTGAAAGTATGTCAAGTGACTTCTGTCAGATTAGTGCGCAGCTCTGGCTGCTCAGATCTCTTATTCTTTGATTGCACTTAATTTCCTCTTCGTTCTGTGGGAGTTCTTTGGAGGTTTTGCTTGTCTTTTCTTTCGCTCTCTCCTTAGTTACATTTTTCACATTTTTATGGTCTCTTAAATTAACTTGATGTTTCTTCTTCTCTCTGCTGTTAGATCTCTGAAGGTCGTGGAAGTCAATCCCACAGCCACTCTGGTCCGTTTCGTAGTGTGGCCTCTTGCGATGGAGGAGTTCCAGCACTTAGGGTCCAGGCCAGTCCAGAGGGCTCCCCCAGAAAAACACTCCACGGTTAGCACTCCTGGATCCTGATAATGCAGAACTCTTTTAAGCTCATCATTTGATGTAGGAGTAATGTCAGTGCGGGGCGTTTCTTATCACAGGTTCTCAGTCTCCGAGCCCCTCTCAGAGTTTGGAGGAGCAGAGACCAGCTCTGGACCCTGGGTAAGACAGCAGATGATGCAATGACATGTTAACTTTTTGAGTGAATTGATGCATCGTACGTTGTCCAGAGAAATGTCGTCAAATGAAGTTGATAAATGAAGTTGTTAATCAAACACAAGGATCACGTATAAAAGAGCAGTGCTGTGTACACTCACTGGGCACCTTATTAGGTACAGCTTACTCGTACTGGGCTGGATGCCCTTTTGGTAAGGTGCTAAAATGTTATGTTCAAGAAACCAGTTAGAAGTGATCTGAGCTTTGTGACATGGTGTCTTATCCTGCTGGAAGCAGCCATCAGTAGATGGGTAAACTGTGGTTATAAAAGGATGGACATGGTCAACAACAATACTCGAGTAGGCTGTGGCATTTAAGTGATGCTCAGTTGATGCTAAGGAATCCAAAATATATAAAGAAAATTCCCACACACCATTACGCCACCTGCAGCCTCAATAACTGGTAGAAAGCAGGATGCATCTATGCTTTTTTGCCAAATTCTGAACCCAACATTCAAATGTTGCAGCAGATCATCATTAGTTTCCTGTTCTTAGTTGACAAAAGTGGTACCCAGTGTGGTCTCCTGATGCTGTAAGCTCTAGAGATGCTATTCCAGGAACATCCAAGTTTCTGAAACTCCAGACTACCTGCAGCCACAGCCTACTCTGATGCTCAGTTTGGCTTCAGCAGATTTTCTTGCCATGCCTAAATACACTGAGTTGCTGCCACGTGATTGGCTGAATACACATTTGTCTTAACAAGCTGTTGAACAGGTGTACCTAAATGAACCAGATAAACATTTACAAACATGCTGAGCAATGAACACACATGAGCAGATAAAACATGCTGTATTTATTTACAGCTTTTATCGTCTGCAGTTTTAATCAGAATCAGAAATTCTTTATTAATCATGAAAGAAATTATAGGTTACAGCAGGCAGCACGCTAATGGCACGTGCGCATTTACAAAGGAACCCTCTGACCGAACTTTACACAAACATCACATTGGGAAGACATGTCAGAGAGGTAGGCTGATAGGAAAAAAACAACGAAAATACAAAACATGAGGTGAGAGGAGGAGAAAAAAAACTCAGACTGAGCTCCTACTGGGAGAACAGTTTGAGAACAGAAAAAAAACACCCCAGCACAAAAAGCACATGACTGTCAATACACCATAGAAACACAAGACAAGCAACTGGGGTGGGTAAGGGTAAGAGAGAGCCGGTGTAGACAGCACATCCGGTCCTGCAGCATGTCTGTGCTGGTCCAGTCAACCCGCCATCTACCCCGGAGAGGACAAGCATCGAAGGCGTTTGGAAATGGAGGGGGATGAGTGTGTATCAGTGTATGTGTGTGTGTGTGTGTCCTGAGTTTAGCTGAGAGAGTGTCCTTCGCCCTGCCAGGCTAAGTAAACAGTCTTCCAGCCGACCCAGGTGGCCTTGCGTAGGGAGGAACAGTCTAAACACCGTCTGTTCTCAGGGTGAAAATTTGTTTTGTTCAGCTCCAGCCTTGAGACCACAGCTGGCGCCTATATGGTAGCCGGATGAAATGATGGTAGCATTCCTTTAGTTCGAACAACTGCATGTCAATTTTACAGCCGCTCTAACAGTCCAACACTGGTCTCTCAATCTCCCGTTGGAGAGCCGCGAGTTTCTCCATGATGTTATCCAATTTTCGCTCATAGGTCTTAGTCTGAGTTTTCACTGCAGCCTCAAGCTTCAAGATCTTATCCGTGCAGCGTTCAATGAGCCTGTTTCGAGAAGTCACAAGTCGTCCCATCGCTTCAATCACAGCGGGCAGCCTTGTGGGGTTTTGAAGAGCCGATTCTGCTTTCTTTAATCTTCGATAAACCAGGGCCAAGCCAGCTCCGATCAGCAAGAACCCTGTTATCATGGTTCCGAAAAGGTAGATGTCTTCAATGTCCTCGATCGACAGCCGCGCCAGGCACAGGACCCTCCAGTTATTCCACTCGTCCATCGTGTATCCGGCAGGGAACGTCCCTCCAGGACACTCAGGCTCACCCGAGCCCAGGCTTCTCTTTGAGAAGAGGGTGTCAGTTGCATTCAGGGACCAGTTGATCAAATCCATAATTCCCCTTTTAGGTTTTAGAGAACAGACTGTGAGAGTGTTCCAGGGCAAGAGTAGAAAAGTAGACGAGACTAGACAAGGACACGAGAAGCCAAGCAGGGAAGATAAGGGAAAGGGGGAGGAGAAAAGTGCGACCGCCTTCGTCAGGAGCCAAGAGAGACAATTTAACAACTGATCTTTTATGGAAGTCATTTTGTATGAATAATTACTAAAGGTTCATAGTTAACAAAGCACATGAACAAAAAAATTGCATCACATATGTTACTCAACTCCACTCCACCTCCTCACAGGAAAACCAAAGTGAAGGACAAAGATCCCAGAGCTTCACCTGGAAACAGGTATTACTGTTTGCATTTTCCTTGTCTCCCTCCATCTAATAAACACGAGGATTTAAAATGTTTACTTCACGATGGCTGATTTCGGAACTCCCTGCACCTCTTTCTGTCTCTCAGCTCCACAGAGCCGTCAGCAGAGAACAGTCCAGAGTACCTCAAGGCCAAGGTGTGTGAGGTTTGGTCATTGGTACCTTGGTAAATAGTGATTCTCTCTGAATAATAGTCTGCTTTGCCCTTTGTGGTGCACAATTATACATGCACTTAAAAAAGTCTTCTTGGCATCCGTGCAGTTTTTAACAAGTTCTGCATTTTCACTGCAGGTTACTGTTCACTTTGTAGCTTTAATGTACTGTGTAGTTTCTGTTGAACAGACTGCACTCACATGGCCACACTTCTTCTCCTATTCACATTATGTGGTATTGTATTCCTTTATGTTTAATAATAATGCTTCAAACAATTGAAATGGAAATAATTTTGTACCCCAAGATGTAATTTGGGGCTTATATAAAAGGAAATTACCTTGCCAAAGCCATAGAAATCCATAATTTGCTTTATAATTGCCCAATTAATTGTGTAACAGTCGATGAAACTCAGTAAAAAAAAAAACATAATGATTTAGCAAACATATGATCTGATTTTAGGTGTTAATTTAACTTTAGCAGAAAAATCTGATCACAGTGTGAATGAGTTCATTTTCTAATGTGTATAAAATCAGTTAAACCTCATCCTGATACAATAAGATTAAAGTTGTAGGAACTTACGTGAAAACTGGCTAATCCTGTGTAATATCAGATGGGGTTACCATAGGATTAAAAAGGAGATTATTTTTGATCCTGCACCAGTTCAGTCCTCTCTCACTCCCAAGACACCCTCAGCTTAAGAAGAGTGCACATGAGAAGATAAATCTTATCAGAACTTCTTCTTAATTATGTTTTTATGGAGCTTTTAGGTAAGGAGTCCTCCCAGAAAGCTGACAGTCTAAGCCTGAGATTAGTCTCACTTTGACCTCAGATGGTACTGAGACTAAAAGGACTGAGTTAAGCTACTGTATGTTATTGAGCGTAAGAAATAGCTCTACACTCTTAGCCATATATCACCGAAACTATAAACCTGTGTATTTCAGGCGAAAAAAGGAACGTTCAGTAGCTCAAATAAAGTTTCTCTGCAGGGCAGTGTTGTGTCCACGTAAATTCCAGCCAAATTTATAGTTTGCATACTATTCAAGCATCTTTAAAAAATTACAGATATGCACACACTCCTTCTTGGAGCTTGTCAAACACCTAAAACATAATTTTTTTTAAAAACAGGGCGATGAAGCACATCAGTTACATTCTGGGAGTAAAAAACCTCCATTTTCTTGATTCATTCACTCCCCGTCCGCTCTCTCAGGTTAAAAAAATCATTCTTAAAATACATTTGTAACATCTACATCGTGTTGGGCTTCACATAACGCTGCACAGAAACATCAATAACAGAGAAGCGTTCCAACTAATCGGCTAAATTCAGCCGCAGAGCCAGTTGGCTCGCCACAAGTCTTACGAACGTGTTGTTGATTTCTTAGGCACCCACTTTGTGCGATGATCTGAGTGCCAGCAGCAGCAGCTCAGTAGAGATCAGCGGTCTGCTCAGTGAAGCCAAGATGTCAGGACGCTCACACACGCTGGTGCTGTCCTCAGATGAGGTACTAAATGTTCCCGAAACTTCTCCGTGGATGTTCAATATGGAAACACAAACCATAAATACAAGCTTATTTATCTTCGCTGGTTCAAATCAGCCCATGCATAAAGTGTGTAATCTTATAGAAAACATCCAGAAAGTTTTTCTTTTTTTTTCTTTACATTATTGCACGAAAGCTTATCTTGTTTTTACTGCAGAAAAGCACTTTTTTTTTATTTGCAAGGCTACCACAGAGGTAGCTTTTTCATTTCTGTTCTGTTAACTACTCAATCATTTTCTGTTGTTTTCTATGCTGCAACATTCAGAGTCTGGATATGATAGATGATGAGGTGAGACTGAGGTTCTTTTAATGCATGCGTGTCTCTGTGTCTGTTGAGCTGTGTGTAAACCATTTGTCTGTGTCTCACTGCTACACATCTTTGGTGAGGAACGATCTTTTTTCTCTTCATGGCCCCCAGAATTTCAGTATTTCTACGTGCTGAATGTAGGCATCGGTGGAATTTTTGATGTTGTTGACTGGGTTTGAGCCCATTATTCATCCAAATTAAGCACTAAAGATGGAGCTGATAGGTTTTTTATCGTATGTGCTTCTTTTCCTTGTCATGTATGTTCAGATGCTAGACGAGGGGCAGTTTTCAAAGCAGTACCAGTGGCAGAACCGCAGCATTACCGAATGGACTTCACAGCAAGTGGCCCACTGGCTTATGGGCCTAAAATTAGAGCACCATATTCTAGAATTCACTGCCAAAAATATAGATGGAGTGCAGCTGCTTCAGCTGAATAGTGCTGAGCTCAAGGTAACAGAAACCTTTTTGTTATTAAATGCATCTTAATTAGATTTCGAATACAGATCACATCACAATGACCCAGTCAAAGTCCTCAAAGATAACAACGTAATTAAAAGGCTATGCCAGGACCTTAAGAGGGCTGTTTATAAATGAAACCTCCATAAAGAGTAGATAATGAATTCCTTCACAATTATGTGAGAGACTGATACATGTTTTCAGAAAACTATGACTTCATTGCTGCTAAAAGTAGTTCCAAGGGTATAGGCCTAACAATAAAGTGTTTTTATGAGATGAGCATAACTGGTCTGGCAAAAGAAATATAAAGGATAAAAAAATAATAAAGCGAAATAATTATACTTATGAGATAAATATAAAACAATTTTTGCTAATTTGTTTCAGGCTCTTGGGGTCACTTCTTCCCAGGATCGAACACTGATCAAGAAGAAGATCAAAGACCTCAAAGTTATGATGGAAAAGGCCAAGAGGAACCAAGAAAAGATGGAGAAACAGCGCGAAAAGCTGCGGAAGAGAGAGCTGGAGCAGCAGCAGAAAGATGCACGTAAAGAAAGTGCGGCGGAGTGAAACGAGCCCCCAGATTACCTCCCGCTTTACTGTAGCACCACATCAAGTAGCATCTCGCAGAACAGAACGTCAGCAGGCCCCACAAACAAAACCCGAGGGACGCCCGCTCAGTAGTTCAGTAGTTCTGAAAGGTGGAGCTCCACACCCAGCTGCCAGTTGTTGTTGAGTGACCTTTTCACCAACCAAACGAAACCAAAAGGATCAGTTGGATAACAGAATGGTGCCCTTCATTTGCTTCATTTTACACCCATCCTGTGTTTTTAGCCAGAATTTATGGATTCTGTTTTGCTGTTTATAGCTGTAAATTGGTTTTATTTATTCATATCCAGAGTGCGCCTGTGAAAAGTTTATCTCTGTAACCTACCACATCATCTCCAGAGACTTCTCTTACCCATCATAGCACCTTTAGACATAGACATGTACAGTGATAAATAAGGATGTAGATGATGTGCCATTTCAATAGACTTATGTATATCCTGCTCAAATCTAAAGATCAGCGGAATCTCTTTATGGCTTTTACGAAGCACATACAGTTCAGGTCTTTGTGTTGGATTACATGAGGCAGTGTTCATCTCCCACCACCAGGTGTCCCCATGCTGCTTACTTTCACTACTGAATAAGGCAACACTGGAACTTCCCTAAAGGAATTGAACTGGAAATTAAAGGTTCGCCGAGCGCTTTGATTTCTTGTAAGAACACTGGAAGTGCAACCACTGTAAATTTGACCTGCGTACTGGCTTACAGTGCCCCTTACCGTATACATGTACCATACTCAAGCCGTTTAAAGTATAAATGATGAAGACATACTAAACTGACTGGACTTGTTCTAATAGAGATTTCAGGTACTGTGTAATTATTACATTTGTAACTTACCTAACCCGAACCACAAAAAACAGAAAAGTTGATAAAAATGAAACTTCTTGCTTAAATGCATAATGTTGCTTTGACTCCCCCTTGTAACCTGCTTTTGACCTCTTTTTATATTCTCTCAGTAACAAAGTAATACCTGCCGCTGCCTTTAGAAATTTCAGCTTAGTAGAATTTTTCCAAACTCTGCCCTCTTCTGTGCAAGCGTCAGGACACATACGATAGACTAAACGACGTCCTCATTCGTGTCATTTTATTATCTCCGATGCTTTGTCATGCAGATTTCTCTGGAATGTCCTGAAAATAACATTTTGTAATGCTGCCATAAAGATGCTTTGTGCGACACCTAAAGTGCAGAAACTGTCCTTAAAGATGATCTCACCTAAAACTTTGATGTTAAAGTGGAATTGAACTTTACAGCCGGAATATATTTTGGACTTTATTCTGAAATTGGTTCATCATTGTTGGAACGATTTATTTTAAGATTTCAAAGCTCAACGAGAGACATTTTGCCTGTGTTACTTCTTTATCATTCCCAGGAATTATTTTATAGGTTTACATTAAATGTAGAGACACCACAGCCACCATGAGAGATATGCAGGCAGCTGTGATGATATCTTTATCTTAATGACCCTGTCTGGTGTGCTGCTAACAGGCTGAGAAGAATAGATGGGGTATCAGTGCGGGTATACATGATAGTAGATTGTGTTATTATTTATTTATTTCTGTATTTAATGAAGCAGTGTACTATTGTTTATGATAACGAAATAAGAGGATTATTAACATTTAATAATTATTTATCCAGAATTGTATGATTACCTACTTTTGCCAAACGTGATCAGAAAGTGATTTCAATTCAAATGGCTGTTATCAAATGAAGGATTTAAAGGTCGATATTGCAACGAGAGAAAAAAGTCAGTAGTATAGTCCCATTGTGCTTGTGGTTTTCCTCTAATACCACCATAGTGCTGCTCCCGTGCTACTCTAATAAACTGCTCATGATGTATTCTCATGAAATGTTTTGTAACACTTGAATCCTTCTATTAATACCCCACACACACCCTGACAAACCAGTCAGCAGACTCTTTTGTATGTATAGTTAAACACTGAAAGCAATATGCTGTAAGAGTCCTAAAGAAGCCTTGTTTTGTATTGTGTCAATGTGGGTGCGCTGTTTTCCAGAGGGCTGAGGATGCATAAAGGTCAGACCTGAGCTAAATACGGGATTCCAAATCTTTTCTATGTGCTTGACCGATCTTGCCAGGCGTGATGAAACCATCGTATACATGGGACCTCAGTGCTCCCGGCGGGCAGAGACACAGATGAATCATGTCTGGAAGGTTTTTTCTTTTTTATGTATGTAGGGATAGCAAAAAGATATTTGCCACAAACTGCTAGCCATGCTTTCACTTTAGAAAAAAGCTGTGCTTATTCTCCTCCTCCTCCTTTTTTTGTCATTGCCTTGCTGTCACATTCTGAAAACTTTGAAAGGGCAGCTACCTGTCACACTGAATAAAATGTGCAGCCACTGTCCACAGTTTGCTTTTGTTTCTTCTTCTTTTTTCTTCTTCTGCATGTGTCCTATTCAGTCAGACACGCACATAAAAATATTAGAGTTGTTTTTTTTCTCTCAGGTTCATAAAGCTGATTATTTTTTACCACATCCACTGATAGAAGGGATACAATACAATGCCCTTCTGTCACTGGACACCCCCCAGCACACTAACTGGTCTAGAGTCAGCCAGCTTTAGCTTTCCCATCCCACCCTCTATGCTTTCTATTTATGTTCATCCTAATTTCTCTCCAGGACTATTTTCTCCCAGTGACGACGTACTGCTGTCACTTGTTGCCCCTCTTCATCTGCTTTATTTTTGTCTTCTTTCTCTATGCAACTCCTATGGCCGGGCTGATGGAGTTGTTGCAATGGTTGGTATGCTGGAATCCTTCATCGTCAACATTTGTGCGTTGCTTTCCAACATACTCCATGCTTTATGGACAATATTAGCGTCTAAGCCAGACGATTTGGCAGCGTTAGGGCCTTTGGACAGAGATTTCATGGAGGATTTGAGTCCCAGAAAACTGGCTGAAAAACAGCTGAAGCAACGGTTCCTGGAGGCCTTGCAGACCAACAACGCACAGGAAGTCCTTGAGATTTTACAAACCAGCAAACTAGACATTGACGTTGTGTTGGAGGTGGAAGATCCCAGCATGGTCCTCGCCTCGTACAAACAAGGTGCAGGAAAACTGTGTGTGTTTGTGAGTGTGTGTGTGTGTGTGTGTGCTGAGTATAAATGCAGATCGTGAGATTTCTCACACTTCTCCATTGTTGGTAAGCAGTCCGGTAAGTTGACCACTAGGTGGTGCAAAACTTCCATAGAACCATAGTACGTAGGATGGATTATTGCACACACTTTAATGCAATATATTGGATTGTGTGTGTGTAACTCAAACATTACAAAGCACTTAGATGAAACTGCTGTAATTATGAAGAATTAAAAGTACAAAAACTTTACTGTTGCTGAAAGTTACTTCCTCTCTTTTAGGATACTGGCTACCCGGCTACAAACTGGAAAAGTCCTGGGCCATGGGTATCCATGTATGTGTAATGTACAATGCTGTGGAGACAGCACTGGTACTCCTTCAGAAAGGCGCAGCTGTCAATCAGATGCCCAATGGGAAGACGCCTCTGCACGTGGCCTGCGAGGTGTCCAATGGAGACTGTGTGCCCTTGCTTTTGGCTCACGGGGCAAAGGTCAACAGCCTGTCTCTGAGCGGGCACACACCGCTGCACTACTGCATTACCCGGGAGTCTGTAGAGTGTGCCAAGCAACTTATCCTCAAAGGTGAGAAGGCAAAGGTAGAAGCACAAATACAGTCACTGCAGAAACCACTAAAACAACAACCAAATGTTTTTTTCCCTCTCATGGAGGTGCAAAAGTCAACAAAGCAAGCCACAACAACGAAGAGGACACACCTCTACACACGGCAGCCAGATTCGGTGTTCCGGAGCTGGTGGCTCTCTATTTGGCTCATGGAGCATCTGTGAATGCAGTGAACTCTCTGCAGGAGACTCCTCTGATGACTGCAGCCTTCTGGGCTTTTGACACTAAGGAGCAAACCTACAGCCAAGACCATCATCTAGTCTGTCGCCTCCTGCTGGACTATCAAGCTGGTAAGACGTTCTAGATAGGTTTCCTTGACTTTGACTTTAACCCCCCCCCCCCTTTACTTCCACTGCAATGTTTCAGATTTGATTTCTGTTGCAGATCCCAACATTCAGGAGGCAGACCACAAAACAGCTCTTCACAAAGCTGCCTGGAACTGCGATCACGTCCTGATAAAGATGCTGCTGGAGGCTGGGGCAGATTCTCGAGCCATGGACATCAACGGCTGTTCTCCCATTCAGTATCTCCTTAAAGTGACGGAAGTCAGGCCTATGGCCATGCCAGACCTCTGCTTTCAGCTGCTGCTCAACTACAATGCAGCACGGATTTACCCACCACAGTTCCACAAGGTAGAGAAGATGATGATGTGGGTTTGTGCTGAAATGATCTGCGTTATACTATATGTTTAACCACAAAGTCTTTAATGTTTTGCACAGGTGTTCCAGAACTGCCATGACTACCCCAGAGTTGTAGAAATCTTGGTTAACTCCTATAGCAGTTTAAAACCCACAAGGAAGTGGAGAGCTGCTCTTCCTGATGACTGCTACAAGGTAGAGCTAATAAAGACTGTTTTCTTTAAATACAATACACACACACTGACTGAAATTAAAAAGGAAAAAACTTAATCCTGTGTAAGAAATCTCATTTATAATTTAAAAAATTGTAAAAACTGAAAAGAATGTTAAAAGATGAAATATTTATAGATGAACAAATTCAAAGCTATCTGATGCCTCTCAACTGTTAATTAGTGTATTGCCCCTTTAAATTCAGCTTACATTAGCTGAATATGACTGAGTGTGCCCTCTCATTGAAGTTAAACAAAAGCGTCTGTTTCTTTTTGTCTCCTCAGCGCCATAAAGACTTCTACGACTCCCTGTTTGCTGTTTGCACTGACGCTCCTCGCAGTCTGCTTCACCTCTCCAGATGTGCCATCAGAGCTGCCCTGGGCAGTTTCTGTGACAGAGGAGTAGCACAGCTGCCTCTGCCATTATCCATGAAGAAGTATTTATTACTAGAACCTGAGGGGATACTGTACTGATAGAGACTCTGGTGTTCTGATGTGCAGAATGAGGCCTAATGACCTGAATAGAAACATTTATTAAGTGCCTCTCCGCTAACTGTGGAAATGAAAAGTGGTGCAAGATGTAACATCATCATCATTAACATTTTATTTATTTAAACCTCAGAAAGCACAGAAAAAGAACAAAAAAAGGTATTTTTTGTGCTTGCAGGATGAGCCATTTCTGTGTTTTAGTTAATAGCTGCTAACATTCCAGGACAGCTGGCGGGTCGGAGGGGAGATTTGTTAAAATAGCTTTAAGATGCTTCCAGATGTTAAATCCTCCTCATTGGTGTTTTTGTTGTATAGATGGCAATGGTGTGTCTAGTCTGAATCTTAAGGCATAGTGATATATGTAATACATATAAAGGCTTGATAGTGGAGCTAGGGCCTGCCCAAAAAATAACTTCCCTGTAATATATTGTGAGAAAATTCTTACCGAAATTTTGTTTCTTGTAAATAGTGAAAAATATATAAAGTAAGTTCTTTTTTTTCCAACCCAAACGACTCCTAGTGTTGCCTTCTCTCTGTTAGGTTGTTATTATGAGAACAAACTACCACATTCAGAATTTCTTGCATTCAAAAATAACAACCATTTGGTCTTTTCAAAGATAAGGACCAAATTATGGGGGCGTTAAAAGTTAAATGAGAGCTGTGGATTGACATTTTTGTCTGTATAAAGAGAAGGTGTCCAATTAGAAGGACAGAGCTTCGAACACTGCCTGTCGTGACACAGTGCACCCTGAAAACAAAAGCAGCTTCATGATTAATCAGTAGTGCAAATAACACAGCCAAGGTTTCTACAGCGTCTGAACCCACTGAAAGAGGTTATTAGTAGTTAATTTGCTCCATATCAATTTTTGAGGATATAAATGTAGAATATATTGAAAAAATGAAACTAAACGTGACGTCATGCGGGGAGAGATCGTTTTAGATATATTGCTATGTTGACACCTTTACTAGCCTGGTGAGTCTGAAATTAATTTTATTAAAAAGAAACAGTTTGATTATCAGCGTCTCGTTTCTGCCAACACCCAGAGGAGTCTGAGATAATGGGATCTATAGGTCATTTTTGTAATGACCCAATAAAAGACTAAAAATGAGATGTACGAAGCTCTAGATCACTTACATTAATGACTAAGGTGATGATAACAGAAAAGCAAAAAGAAAGAAGTTTTAAAGCAGTGACAGCATCACTCCCTAACCCTTAAATGTTTAATCGACAAATGTGCAAATGTTTGCATTTACTTTATTCTTTAGAGTGACAGAGGGACCTTTAGCCACCCAAAAAGAAGCATCTAAAGTGTCTTTAGTGCGAGTCTCTTTGCTGTAGCTATTTTCCACCTGTGCAGTGTTGACCAGATTCTCTCTCTATGGACAGCCCATGCAGAGAAGGCTCCAAATCTACCCGGCAACCAGCCTTAATGCGCACTCTCAAACTCATGTTCCACTTTCAGGAGAACAAACACTTGACAAAACCCTCCGGAACAAGTGCTTGTTTTTCCAGTGGACTGCTTGTAGCCAAAAAAAAGGAAAACACTGTCTGCAGTGCAAGAAAGCACCCGACGCCCTCAGATCAGAGATAACTTCTTAAAAAGGAAGAAGAAGAACTTAATATTATTTTCAGGTTTTACCAGAATGAGCACAGTAAATCCTCTCCTAGAGGAAACTGTTCTGAAAGGTGTCAAGTCTGCCTTTAATCCTTTACAGAACATGGCCCAGTCCTTTCACAACAGCATGCTGTAATGATGTCTGTCTATTTCATCCAGATGCTGAGTCACCGGGAGAAAGACTAATGTGCAACAGAGGAAAGAAGTCATTAGACTGAGGCAGACTGGAGGAGACGCTAGAGGAGATAAATGAACTGTCAACCTAATGAAACGTTAAGATTAAAGCTTCGTGCTTGGTATTTTTGTGTCGTCTCTAATGATGCATTATAGAGACACACAAAATGAATATCTGAGGCGAGGAGAAGTCATTTTAAAATATTCAGAAAACCATCTACAAAATATTTATTGTTTGGATAATCACACTTTCAGTACTTGAAAGTGTGATTATAATACGGTGTCAAAGTTTTGAGCCTATAATAGTTGAGATATTGACACAACAACTTGGTACATCTTGGCATGAAGTGCAGTGTGTCCTTAAAAATGGGCAGGAAACTGGACAAAAGTAGCACATCTAAAATAAAATTTTAAAAAATCTAGCTACAGCATTTGAAATTATCTGAAAGTCATGTCCTTAAAAAACAGGGAAAAAAATCCAGCAAAGGCCCGACACTGGACCAGAAGCCTCATCAGAAATGAGCAGAAATGAAGCTATTCTTAAAGAACAGTGAGAAAAGGCAGCAGTAGGCCACGGTCAGCCATGGATTGGCCTCCCCAGAGCCCAGACCTCAGCATTACTGAGGCAGTGTGGGAACAAAAGGCAGCCAACATCCAAAGAAGAGCTTTGATTGTCCTTCAAGAAGCCTGGAGAAGTATTCCTTGGCTGCTCCTTCATCCATAAGGGGTCGCCACAGCTGCTTGAAGAAATTACAAGACCGCTTGCCTAAGGGAGCTTCTGCTCAGTAGTGCAGTTGCAAATAAATGAAATGTGAACAAAAGAGCAGAAGTTGTTTATAACCAGTAATTCAGATAGAAAGGTACAGTCATTATGAACCTTACAGCAGTCTATAGGTCATGTGGAGGTGTCTGTACTGGACCTCTGTTTTGTACTTTTTGGACAACCCAGCATTACCAAACATTACCAAAACTTGCAGCTTGAATCCATCCATGAATCCTTTTTAGTACCTGCATATCCAGTTCAGTGGAAGGAGGCCTGGAGATGGTCCCAGCCATCCTGGGCCACTCCATCTGTGAAGTCTCAAAATTAAACAAGACAGTCGATCTCTTTATGCACCAAAAGTGTCTGCTGCAGCTTTTCAGTACTGGCATGTCAACTTTATAAGTAAACAAACAGTGTCAACAGTAGAAAGGTTAAATCCAGGCGAACTCGTGGCCCGGCACGTTGCACAGTCGAACACGGAACAAAGCTAATATTTGTGCTGTGATATTTGTCTTCACTTGTATTTCTTAACTTTCTATGCCAAGATTCACAGCAGAGATCCAAACCAAGTGTCTGATGTAGCCTTCTGATTTGCCTGTGTTCATATTCTGTAGAGGGAACATTGTTAGGATGACTGAAGGACCAGGACCCGAGTGGCCTAATTCTAAAAATATACCAGTGAGGATTACGTCGGAGAAAAGGTCTTTGCTTTTATTGATCTTATACTTAGTCTTACTCTCTCTTATCTTTCAGATCGACCTTGCATAATCCTGTATTTGTATGATGATGGCAGTAAACTGTAAAACAGAACAGAGTGACACAAACAAACAAAGAGAAACCAAACTAGAAAGGAGCACCGCATTTGTGGGCACACAGAGGAAGCTGCAAAACAAGACAGCCTGTTCTCGGCCTCTATTGGAAGGCGGCCACAGAAAGCCAATGGACTGCGTCTATTATGGCGACTTACAAACAGCAAAGTTTCCTAAAACGAGCTGTGGAAAAAGAGAAGGGAGACTTTAAGAGGGCGGTAACAAATGGGAGCTGTTTACAGACTGTAAACGGTTTCATTTCTGTTCACCGACTGTTCAAATGAACAACAAAGTGCAGAAGCATGAAGTGGATCTGAAGAAACGATACACTGAGAGGTGACAGGAGTTTATTTTTTTAATTTCTACATTTCTACATACTGGTCCTCTTAGTGGTGAACCACAGACTCAGTGCAGGGACACTTGGCCTTTGAGTGACACTTATAGAGTAGAGGTGAAAACTGCACATCTATGAATTCAAGGGAAAACATCACATAAAGGTTAAAATATTTTCTCAACATTAAGTTCCCAAGACATTTTTCCAAACTTAAAACTAAATGGATTGAATATAAAAGTATGTCTGGCAGCTAATGGCTTACATCTTACATAAGGTCCTCTCTCATCTGTTTGTGTTGTTCCTACGTGCCTCCAATACTGACTGTATCATGTCAGGCACAGATAACAGGGTGAAGACTTACAGTGTGTTACAAAACAGGGAGCTAAAGTACAACTTCCTGCAGAAATTGTACTTCCCATTAAACTTCACACATACTTTAACACTTTAAAATCACTGTAAAGGGAACATTCGCAACTATTTTTCACCCATCTGACCAGGCATGATAAATTTCTCCACTCATTCCTCTGCATGACTCGACTTTTCAAACTCCTTTCAGCTCGCATAAAGACACGAGGTACATAATTAGTGACACTGAAAATCCTCCAACACACACAAATGTGGCATCGCAGCAAAAATAATTTCACATTTGCTGTTGTTCACAAAGAAACGCTGAAAGCTGTGTGAACGAAGCAGCGCTGCATATTATAGCTGATCGTTGGAAACAGACTTTGCTCCCTTTGTGTTTATGCGGCAGTCAGCGAACGCGCCCCCGTTCCGCTCAAAGACACAAACACTTCAGTCAGCTGTGGCTGGCCTTTTTTAAAAACAAAAAACAAAAGCGTTTAACCTAATGCACAAACACAAAATACTTGTGATTTTAATAAACCAAACGTCTGGATTGTGAATGATACTAATGTTACATAAACACAAAGAGGACTTTTTTTCTGAGCGTAATCACTGAGGTAAAAAGGAGATTATTAATTGTTCCATTCCCATTAGCAGCACATTTTGTGGGGTGAGCTTATGTTACGTGACGGCTGGTGTGAAATCAGATTCAGGTTTAGGTTTGTTACTGCTTTCTTCATACCAACAATAAACTTTTGTTTTTTCCGCCCTCCCTCAGGGAGAGAGAAGAGTCCGCGACAAAAATCCAAGTCCAGCAACACGCTGAAAGCTTTTTGGTTCCTCCGACATGTGCTCTCTTCTTCTTAATTTTCCTCATTCTCCTTCCTCAGTCTGACATCACCCGCTCGTCTCATACCTGCCGAGCTTCTTTGGATCCTTGCTGGGCATGCACCAGTCATCGGCCTCTGTGGTGGACTGGTAATGCCGCAGGGCCGACTTGTTGAAAACAGGAAGTCTCTCCACAGACTCTGAAGACAGGGCCTAGTGATAGAGCATGGAGGGGAACGCATTACTGGAGTCTAACCACACCCCCGCCCACCCTGCTCTCCTGCCGAGGTCCATGTGTGTCTAATTAGAACTCAGTAGCCTGTTTAAACGACATCCCTCGATCTCCAGAATGTAACCTTGTAAATTATACTAACAACATTTCTGTATTAAATAGTTACTCTGCATCTGCCTCCACTCAGCCTATCCAGTACGTCCGGCTAACAGCATGCAAGTTTGTGAACTCTGCACCAACTTGGCCTTCAACGTTATTTTTTGACATTATGTGTTAAGGTGGAGCTGTTCTCACCTTCAAGTATATGACCGCTGATGTGCCATAACCCTCCATTGAGTAGAGCTGCAGGTCTCCCTGGAAATACTTGGCGTACAGGCGGGAAATGGGCAGGCCATAGCCGAAACCAGCCTGAATAAAGGTCGGGAAAGCAGAAACATAACAAGGTTACACTGTCTTTATAGATTAATCTAAAACTACTCCAACATT